TTAAAGTGGAGTGGCCACACAGGCCTCATCTCAAGGATTAAATCTTATCGGAACCAGAGGTCTTTTTCTGTTGTCCCAGCAAGGTCTGAGCTCCACATGCAGTAACTTGATACAGGGTGTGGCAAAAGAATCACAATTTCATGATCACATATTTTTTTACTTAATTAGGCATCTTAGTGGTCAGACCACATCCTTAGAGATAACATATAAAAAGCAGGAAGAGCAGAGTGAAGGACACAGTCGTCTGCAGATCAAAGACACTGACAAGAGAAAATGTTGGGGTTTGTTGCTTTCATCCTTGGTGCCGTTTTCCTTATTGCCAAATCCAGTGAGTAATATTTTGCTAAATACTATCATTCTCTTGTTCATAATTTTTCCCCCTAATCAAGGGTCTCCTTTGATGCTGTTGTGTGAAAAATTGTATCTGGATATCTTCCTGTGTTAGGTCATGGTTCTGAGATTATCAATGGGAACGAAGTGAAGCCACACTCCTTGCCTTTCATGGCTCTGCTGGAATCACATGAATTAGTTTGTGGAGGAACTTTAATTGATTCCAAGTGGGTTCTGACTGCTGCGCACTGCGAGGGGTAAGAACAATTCTCATTTTTCTTATTTATATGCATTTGGCGTGCATTTCAAGTAGCATTAAAAATGGAAAATGCAATCTGCTGTTACATTGACTGATTTTGCCTTGCTCTCTCAACAAACTTAAATAATGTTTAGATGTAAAAGAAAACCAGCAGTCCACAGTTTCATTAGAATTATTTTTTTTTAATAATGTACATTTCTAAGTTCATGCAGCGGCTAGTCAGAGAAGCAATAATGCCAAATAGTTTTTGTTCTGTTTTGTATAAATAGATGTATCCTTCAATACTCAAAAGTATAGTTAAGGTGGGTTGCAACTTCTCCATACCAATTGTGATGAAAAAAATATTAAAGATGATGTGTAATTCATCAGTTTTGGTATACAGCAGTAATAGATCTAGTGGAAAGAATGTTAGAATAATTAATTACATCTACATAGTAAACCATTACTATCTCATTATTGTGCAACCTCTAATCTGTAAGATCTTAAATTTACCATACTGGTACTATGTTATCGCTCTCTCAGCATGAGCATTGCATTCCTGGGAGTGCACTCCATCTCAAGCCACACTGAAGGAAAGTACAGGCAGATCCTCAGAGTGGCGAGGCGTTTTCCTCATCCTCATTATAATCCCTATACAGATGACAATGATGTCATGTTGCTCAAGGTAAGTTTGCTTTCCAAAAGGAATGATTTCATCTGTTTAAAATAACATTTCATACATAGGGGACATATTTAAAATTAAGACTCTACTTATATCAAGCTGATTCTTATTTCACAATTTACTTTCAATTAATTATCTTTCATTTACTGATGTCTTGAAACATCCATCCATTTTCTGTACATCCTTGTCCCTAGTGGGGTTAGGAGAGTTGCTGGTGCCCATCTCCAGCTAACGTTTCAGGCGAGAGGTGGAGTCACCCTGGACAGGTCACCAGTCTGTCGAAGGGCAACTCAGAGACAGACAGACAGGACACACAACCATGCACACACACTCACACCTAGGGAGAATTTGGAGACCAATAAACCTGACAATCATGTTTTTGGAAGCCGCAGTACCTGGAGAAAACCCACGCATGCACAGGGAGAACATGCAAACTCCATGCAAACAGACCCCAGGCCAGGAATCAAACCCAGAACCTTCTTGCTGCAAGGCAAGAAGGTTCTACCAACTGTGCCTCTGTGCAGACCATGTCTTGAAACAATTTCTTCAAATACTTTCCTGTTATCTTTTCTTAAAAATATTCATTCAAATTGGTCCCTCTCACTACCCTTCATAAATAGCATATTTAAAACTAACATTTTAGCTGTACTAATTTTTTTTTTTACATTATTATATAATAAGTGTGATTTTTACTTTCCAGCTGGAAAAGGCAGTGAAGCGAACCAAATGGGTGAAACCTCTCAAGCTGACGAAAGTTGTCAAAGACCCAGAAGAAGGTTCAGTCTGTATGGTGGCTGGATGGGGAAGTACCGAAATGAATGCAGCTGGGTCAGATGTTTTGATGTCAGTCAATGTGACTGTGGTTGGCAGAAAGAAGTGCAGCTCACCGGCTTTTTACAATCATACCATAACTGACAACATGATTTGTGCTGGGTGGAATGGGAACATCCAAGCTGACAGCTGTCAGGTAAGTGACAATTTATGCAAATTTAAAATGCTGTGATTTTCACAAAATTGCATTTTATATATTTCTTCTCTCTGTAGGGGGATTCTGGTGGGCCAATACTGTGCAATGGAGCTGTAGTTGGAGTTACATCTTTTGGGGATGGGTGTGGACTCAAAAATAAACCTGGCGTGTACGCTTTCCTCACCAAAGATCACCTTGACTGGATCAAGAAGACAATGAACCAATGAGATAATGAATAAGCCTTGGTTGAATGTTGCTGTTTTACTCATTCAACCACTTTTCTTGCTCTCCTATGTTATACAACTTGCATTTTGCTTCTTAAAGATGTATGCGCAGGCAACAATTGAACAAATAAAAACTGAGCTTTGGCTTGTTACAGCAAACTTTGAAACCTGTTTGTGTAAATCACTTTATTAAAGGATTAAAAAGTAAAATATCATATTTCTGGCCCTGTACCAGTAGATTAGCCACTTACAAAAACCTCTGAATGTGGTGCTTTCTATGACAGCTGTAGCTGTACCGTCTCAAACAAACACTGTTTAAAAACAGCAGCAAATATACTTCCAAAATTGATGGAATTGCAAAGATCTAAAAATGATCTTCACATGAGTAGATATAACATTTTGGTGGATGGTTGTTTTAAGACAGCAGAAGACTTTGGTTTCAGTCTCAGTTTAACAAGCTGTTATTTTAAGTTTGTGGGCAAAAACATAACTGTTGACGCTAACAACCCCAAGGAATCAGACAACTTGAAAATGCAACAACACCCTTCAAAGTACTCAAGGGTAATAGTTTTTCCAATTAAAATGCAAAATAAGTTTATTCTTTTCTTTATATTTTTCTCCAGCAATAAAGATAGGGTTAGGGTAACCCTAACCCTTTTTCCAGAAAAAATATTACAGTATACGTCAACTCTGCTATTGACAGCAAAGAGTGAAAATAATTCTAACAGAGTAAATTATTTTTTATTTCATTACATAAGCTGCATTAATACACTAATATTTCAGATTGAGATATGTAAGAACACACAAAAAATGAAAGAATAAAACATTTATTTATTATACTGGGAACACTGGTCACAGGCTTCAGTCTGCTGGTCACACTGGGAGAACTCAATGACTTCTGAGACGTCCTGGTTCACAGGCTAAAGCCAAGGATAAAAGAAAAATTGTCCAAAAGTGAAATAGAAAATACAAACATTTTTCCTTCAAATTCAGAAAAAAAAAAAACATTTTCAGCATGTTGGGGCTCTGACTCGTAGCATCTTTATAGCTAAATACCGACATGGTGAAGCTGAGCTTGGAAACAGAGACTGAAGAACAGCAGCTCCAGTTCTGATCCTGACTGACTTTTCCTCACTAAATCCTCTGGTCTTTAATGAACTTCCCCTCAAACAGCGGTTTCTCATCAGCTCTCTCTCATTAGAAAACAGTATGAAAATGTTAGCTGCTACGCTAACAATCAGCAGTTACTTTGGGCCAATTTAGCGACATAGGAAATATTTCTCGGTTGTTTAGAAGCGAGTTTCTGGCTGAAAAGTTAAGTAATTCTGCTCGTTCATCCTTACCTGTGAAAGGTAGTGCCAATGAATCCAGTTTGTGTTGTAAAATGGTTGAAACAAGTCCACACAGCACAGGACTTGGGGAGCTCCGATTGCTCTGCTGCCACGTACAAGATGGCGGTGATGCAACGTAGGACTCAGCGCTTAATGAAGCTCTACGTATTCATGTCTATGTCGGAGGGGGTCATATTATGTAACACAGATGGGAAGGGTATTATATATGTATTAGATGAATGGGCCAATAGGTTCAGCTATTGGAGCACGGTGGAGTGTTTAAATGACACACAAAGGCAGTTAAATGAATTTAAAGAACAACTGGCTTTAGTGACATAAACCATAAAACTGACAAACAGTTGTACAAGAAACACAATTATGAAAATAAAATTACACACAATAAAATACAAGAAATAACAACACTTGGCCAAGTGCTAGTTCTCAGTTTTAAATCTTTTTGGTGCACCCTGGTAATCTGAATTCTAAATGGTATTAGGCAACGGATTAATCAATTTCAGTTCCGATTAGGTTCAACTCAACACCACTCACATCAGGAGAATTTCCTACACAGCAGTTTGTTATAAAGTCCCAAATAAAAACTGGTCCAAAACGGTCAGATCCAAAATTCCAGGATTAAACAATAAGAATGAAAAAGGTCAGTCAGTGGTCTCACACATAACCAACTGTGTGTGAAGATGTGAGTGATACACGCCTACCACAACGCGGGGTGCAGCAGGACTCCAAATGGAAAAGAAGGAATCCAGTTCTTCCTAAGTCCAGGTGGGAAGGCTCACCATCAAAGTCACAGGCGGAATGCACCTCAGGAACAATCCAGAATAGAAAAAAACCCTGACCTGTGAACAGACAGGACCAGCAGAATAATAGAATTTTATTAAGCTGTTCTAGCTTTAATCCTTAAATCATGTTTCTGTAGACATCATATTTGACATCAATTTGTTATCAAATAATTTGCAATAAAACAATTCTCTTTTACCTCAATGCAGAATTTCACTACATTGTCAATTTACTTTTCTGTAAATTGCAAAAGCATTTTTTCAAACATTACATTTTACCCAAAATCAGTAAAAGTTTACATTTGAATAATTAAATAGTTCAGATAAACACTATTATTCAACAAAAATGTGATAAACAGAACAAAAACCCAAATGATAGGCACAGAATATGCTCACCGATCTCAATGCGACACGTTTGGGACAACTATATGGTGGCTCTCAGTCCGGACCATGGGGCACTAGATAATGTAACAAGGCATATTTTACATGCTTTAACCTCAATTATATGAGCTTTCATTGTGAACAAAGTAAAAATACTATAATTTAGGCTTTACCTTCAGCTGAACGGAGAACGAGATGAACTTCGAGGAAACCAGTTGCCAATAAGAGCTAACGAGGCTAACGAGTTAGCTCTAACAGTGCTCGGCAGAAAAACTGAAGTTCAGTCTTTTTTTACTCACTTCACAACTTCCAGCTTAGAAGTCGGATGATAAACAGCAATTCTATCTGAAAAAGGGCTTGTTTCGAGTTCGTATCCAGTACTATAGCCGTCTTAGCACACAGACTCCTTCTCATGGCGGATCTCTCCCGCTTACACAAACAATGCCGCAGACACGGGGAAGAAGGGCGGGACTTACAGCGGCAGTCTTCTTCTTCTTCTTCTTTTCTATTATGGCGGATCGCAAGCAACTTTAAGGTGCATACCCCCACCTACTGTACACGAGTGTGTAGCAACATTTCTTTACATCTATTAAATTCTATTTATCAATCTTGTATTTTGAAGAAAAATAAATAATGTTTTTCTTAATCTATAAATATCCATTATGTTTCCTTCATTTCCTAATATTCCTTTAAGACTCCATTCTTGACCTGTCCTTCCAACCATTCTTTTCAAATTCTCCCTTTCAGATTCATATGTTCTACAGTTCATTAATACGTGTTCTACATTTTCTTTCTCTCCACATCCTTCACATTTATCATTATTTTTCTTCCCTATTAAATATAAAGTGTCATTTAAATAGGTATGACCTACTCTTAATCTGGTTATTATTATTTCTTCCCTTCTGTTTCTCTCGTTAATATTTCTAATTAATACTGACTTTTGTACTTTATATAATCTTCTCCCTTTCTTATCTTCATTCCACCTTTTTTGCCATTTTTCCATTTCTTTACTCTTAATAAATGATTTCCCTTCCCCTTTCTCAAAAGGAATTATAATCGTGATTGCCACTTCTAAAGCCCTTTTTGCTAATTTATCTGCCTTTTCATTTCCTTTAACCCCTTCATGAGCTGGTACCCAGCAGAACCAAACATCAATGCCACCTCTATATAATCTAAATAAACTATGCTGAATTTCTAATACTAAATCTTTCCTATTATTTCCTTCTCTCTTAATACTTTCTAAAACTGCTTTAGAATCTGTGCATATCACCACCCTGTCTGGTCTAACCTCCTCTACCCACTGTAAGCTTAATATAACTGCCATCATTTCTGCTGCGAAAACAGATAGGTGATCTGATAATCTTTTAGAAATATGAATTTCAAACTCTGGTATATATATTCCTATTCCCACACATCTTGTTAATATGAAATCTTCTTGCCCATTTATACTGTCATTAATTATTGTACTCACTGGAAAGTGATCACTCCCTAATGTAGACTTCCTGTTAATATCCCATTCACATGAACTAACAAGATGATCAGTTATTAATGTAACATTTAGACATGAAACTGTATTTTTATGTATATTTACTCTTGTACCTTTTCCATTATTAAGATAAACTAATGACCTTTCATCCATCATTTCTTCAACTATGATACCATTATGATCTGTCTTCTTGCTACCCCCTAAAATATTGTGTGCATTAAAATCACCACACCATAATTCTCTTCTATGTAATTTTCCTGCTATTTCCTTAAACATTTCACTATCAAGACTTTTTATAGTGAAATGAATAATTTACAATAATTTATAATTTTAATATTTCCATGTTTTCTTAAATTAAATATTTCTATATTAACACATTCTAATTCTTTATTCATTGTGTTTTTCTTATAAGCTATTCCATCCTTAATTAAAGTGGCACATCCACCTCCACTACCATAACTTCTACCCTGTCTTTCTATACTATATCCAGGAATTTTAAAATCTAGGTTAGGTTTCAACCATGTTTCTTGAATCCATATTATATCTGGGATTATTTCTAAATCATAAACAAACTTTTTAAATTCTTGTCCATTGGCTATTAAACTTCTAGCATTCCATTGAAGAATGTGAAGAACCATTATAAAAGTTTGTATCCTAATCCTGGACATTTTCTGTTGTTTCAGTGGCACTCAAAATGATATGAATCTGATCTGCTTGGATTTCTTTCATGTCTAAAAATCTTCCTGCTGCTGTTACAATTGCTTTTATTTTATCACTTTTCTTCTTCATTTTTACTGTAACATTGATATTATGGCACATAAATGCTACAAAGTTTTCCTTTTTCACCACCATTGAGTTTTCATCCACTCTACATTTATGCGAGCATGCTTTTTGTATGTTTGATGTTGGTACTAATATTTGTCTTTGATCATTCTGCTCTTGATTTGAACTCCAAGTTGTGTTTCTTTGACCTGTTTCTCCTGACCTAATTTCTCTNAAGCAGCAAAAAGAAAATCATGGACTGTGAAATGAAAATTAACACAGAACCAGGAATTCATGGACTGGAATCCACCTCAATAAGGAGATCAATTTCTGCTTACTCCAAGAAAGCTCTCTGTGTTACTGTGGTTTAATCCACAAAAACTTTCACTATAAAAATTGGGTCTTTTTACAATGAATTAAGAACATAAACAGCCTCCTATTCTTAGAACATTGATGGTCTTAATAATGGTTTCCTGGAGGATCGTATAAATGTGGTGGGTTTTTGTATCATGGCTAACTTACTGCTACAGTCTTTGGACGGCATTGAGAATCCACTTAACTTTTGCACCAAGGTCATACTGGTTAATAGTCACAGAGGCACAATATCGAGATAGATCCTGGTTGATGCCAATGGTTTTACTAGAGTACATTTAGGTCTGTTTACTTGTACTTTTACTAAAGTACATTGTTTGAGTACTTTCTCCACCACTGGTTGATGCATTGGTAAGATATCCATGGCGTGGGCTCCACACAGACCGACTGGTAATGAAGGATCTTAAAGTGGAGTGGCCACACAGGCCTCATCTCAAGGATTAAATCTTATCGGAACCAGAGGTCTTTTTCTGTTGTCCCAGCAAGGTCTGAGCTCCACATGCAGTAACTTGATACAGGGTGTGGCAAAAGAATCACAATTTCATGATCACATATTTTTTTTACTTAATTAGGCATCTTAGTGGTCAGACCACATCCTAAGAGATAACATATAAAAGCAGGAAGAGCAGAGTGAAGGGCACATTCGTCTCCAGATCAAAGACACTGACAGGAGAAAATGTTGGGGTTTGTTGCTTTCATCCTTGGTGCCGTTTTCCTGATTGCCAAATCCAGTGAGTAATATTTTGCTAAATACTATCATTCTCTTGTTCATAATTTTTTCCCTTAATCAAGGGTCTCGTTTGATGCTGTTGTGTGAAAATTTGTATCTGGATATCTTCCTGTGTTAGGTCATGGTTCTGAGATTATCAATGGGAAAGAAGTGAAGCCACACTCCTTGCCTTTCATGGCTCTGCTGGAATCACATGAGTCAGTTTGTGGAGGAACTTTAATTGATTCCAATTGGGTTCTGACTGCTGCGCACTGCAAGGGGTAAGAACAATTTTCATTTTTCTTATTTATATGCTATTGGTGTGCATTTCAAGTAGCATTAAAAATAAAGAATATAATGTGTTGCTACATTGACTGGTATTGGTATTCATACTGCACATTTCTAAGTTACCGCAGCAGCTAGTCATGCCACAAAGGAAATCTAGACATGGTTATGTAAGCTGCAGCGTGTGTGTAAGCAGTTAAAAGAGGCTAAAGGAGATAGAGGAAAAGATAGAACCTACAACATGCTGATCTGACAAACAAGAACGCAAAATAGGTTTTATTGTGTTTTGTATAAATTCAGATTTATCCTTCATTACTCAAAAGTATAGTTAAGATAGGTTACAACTTCACCATACCAATTGTGATGAAAAAAATATTAAAGAGGATGTGTAATTCATCAGTCTTCGTATTCAGCAGTAATAATAGAAAGAATGTTAAATTGAATTTACAACTAAATTTACATAGTAAACCATCAATATCTCATTATTATGCAAGCTCTAATCTGTTAGATCTTAAGTTCCTTTCTGGCACTATGTTATTGCTCTCTCAGCATGAAGACTGTGATGTTGGGAGTGCACTCCATCAAGAACAAGGAAAAGGAAAAACCATACAGGCAGGTCTTTGGAGTGAAGAAAAGTTTTCCTCACCCTAGTTTTAATAACAAAACCTTTGACAATGACTTCATGTTGCTCAAGGTAAGTTTGCTTTGCAAAATTAATGATTTTGTCTGGTCAACATAAAATTTAATTCACTGGGAAAATATTAAAGATTAAGACTCTACATATATTTATATTTCACAATTAACTTTACTTTCACTTGATTATTGGTTATCATTTACTTACTGATGTATTGAAACATTTCCTTTCAATTATTTTCTGGTTTCTTTTATTAAAATTGTTCATTCAGGGGTTCCTTCTCACTATACTTTGTAAATTGTGTATTTAATATTTAACAATATTTGAACAAACGTTTAATGTTTTATCTATGCTATTATACACACACACACACACACACACACACACACACACACATATATATATATATATATATATATATATATATATATATATATATATATATATATATATATATATATATATATATATAATACAATAAGTGTGATTTTTACTTTCCAGCTGGAAAAGGCAGTGAAGCAAACCAAATGGGTGAAACCTCTCAAGCTGACTACAGTTGTCAAAGATCCAGAAGAAGGTTCAGTCTGTATGGTGGCTGGATGGGGAAGAACCAAAATGAATGGAACTGGGTCAGATGTTTTGATGTCAGTCAATGTAACTGTGGTTGGCAGAAAGAAGTGCAACACACCGGCTTTTTACCATCATACCATAACTGACAACATGATTTGTGCTGGGTGGAATGGGAACATCCAAGCTGACAGCTGTCAGGTAAGTGACAATTTATGCAAATATAAAATGTTGTGATTTTCACAAAATTGCATTTTATATATTTCTTCTCTCTGCAGGGGGATTCTGGTGGGCCATTACTTTGTAATGGAGTTGTCGTTGGAGTTACATCTTTTGGGGATGGGTGTGGACTCAAAACCAAACCTGGCGTGTACGCTTTCCTCACCAAAGATCACCTTGACTGGATCAAGAAGACAATGAACCAATGAGATAATGAATAAGCCTTGGTTGAATGTTGCTGTTTTACTCATTCAACCACTTTTCTTGCTCTCCTATGTTATACAATTTGCATTTTGCGTCTTAAAGATGTATGCGCAGGCAACGATTGAACAAATAAAAACTGAGCTTTGGCTTGTTACAGCAAACTTTGAAACTTGTGTAAATCACTTTATTAAAGGATTAAAAAGTAAAATATCATATTTCTGGCCCTGTACCACTAGATTAGCCACTTACAAAAACCTCTGAGTGTGGTGCTTTCTATGACAGCTGTAGCTGTACCGTCTCAAACAAACACTGTTTAAAAACAGCAGCAAATTTACTTCCAAAATTGATGGAATTGCAAAGATCTAAAAATGATCTTCACATGAGCAGATATAACATTTTGGTGGATGGTTGTTTTAAGACAGCAGAAGATGACTTTGGTTTCAGTCTCAGTTTGACAAGCTGTTATTTTAAGTTTGTGGGCAAAAACATAACTGTTGACGCTAACAACCCCAAGGAATCAGACAACTTGAAAATGCAACAACACCCTTCAAAGTACTCAAGGGTAATAGTTTTTCCAATTAAAATGCAAAATAAGTTTATTCTTTTCTTTATATTTTTCTCCAGCAATAAAGTTTAATAAAGAGCCTCACACCTGCTTTAATAAATTTGGCATAGTTTTAAAAACTGTTTTTTGTCCATTTCCGTGACAAAAACCAGAACTTTCCTCACATTACCCTTGCAAGGATATGGATGACAACAGACAGTCTTGCACTGAATGAGAGTTGAGCAGGAGTTTATTTAGGCAACAACAGAGGTGAGAGGAATCACCAGTAGGAGCAGGAAGAGCAGTTCTCCAAGTTGACAGTATCTCTGATAAATAATCATGTAAGGTCTGGAAAAAGTTGCCACTTGTCTCCTCTCAGGGTCTGTGTGATGTCAATAAAATTAAAACCCTCCACCACAGTGCTGTTAGCCACCATGAGAAGTGCTAAACATTGCCACTTCAGAAGCGGTAGATCTGACCTCATTTCATGATCACACCTATTTTGCCGATTCATGCATTTCCATGATCCACCCACATCCTTTGAGACTAAGACATAAAGAGCAGGTTGAGCATTGTGAGGGTCTTAACACGTCAAACACCCTGATAGGAGGAAATGTTCTGTCTGAGGGATTTCATTGGTTTCATTCTCTCTGCCTTGTTTCTGATCAAATTCAGTGAGTAATACTTTCTTAAATATTGTCATTTTCTTATTAATGCAATATTTCTCCTTAGCTAAGGATTCAGCTTTCTCCTGTCACATCAAAAATTGTTTCTGGATGTATTGCCAGGTCATGGTTCTGAGATTATCAACGGTAGAGAAGTGAAGCCCCACTCGTTGCCCTACATGGCTCTGCTGGAGTCAAGCACACCACTCTGTGGGGGAATATTAATTGATCCAAAATGGATTCTGACTGCTGCACACTGCAAGAAGTAAGAACAATATATATTTTTTTCTTATTTTGTAAGCATTCAGAATGGTTAGAAATAGAAAATACAATCCAGTTTTTCATTGGCTGTTTGTGCATATGTTGTTTTCTCTTGCACTTCCAGCCAAATTAAGCAATGTATAGGTTTGTAACAGGAAACTATCGCTCTGCATTTTTGGATGTTGTGCCCCGTGCAATTCAAGAGCAAACTGAGTAGATGGCCTGAGTAGATAGCAACAGAAAGCCATTTTTTCTTGCTTTGCATGTGTGGAGTGTTTGTTGCTGTTTGTATAATCAGGAAAAAAGTAGACCAAAAAAGGGGATTTAGTTAAAAACTATTCACCACCAGATTTTATAATAGTATGATTCTATGATTCAGACTGAGCAATGCCTGGCCAGCTCATAAGAATATCAAGAAATGTCTGAGTCTTTTGTGAAGTTGTATTTCTACACCCTAAAGTATTTCTAAGTTTGCATGCATAACACAGTCAACATTTAAGCACATAGCATGTGAAGGAAGGAAAATATGTCTTATGTTTAGGTACAAATGTCACTCGCTTCAAGAAACCTCAAAAGCCACAAAGATTCAGAAAACTGTCATCCTCTATTAAGCATTTTGCATTTGAACTTTAAGTTTAATTTTCCAATTGAGCAACAAGTTTTGAGAGATTTAGCAACACGTAAATCTAGGTCAGAGTCAGAATACTGATTATGACTCATTAACATGTTCTTATTGTATGTTACTTCCTGCTTTATGCATATACATATTTAATACATACAGTTTTATCATTCATTACTCAAACTTGAGACCAAAGTCAAGGTGGGTTTAAGCTTTTATTCTCCAGCTGTAAGAAAAAATATCAAGGATAATCTGTAATTCATCAGTCCTGCTGTGGAATATTAAAAGACTTGTTCAGAAAGGAAAAGGTTATAAACAGTTGAAACCAGATGCCTTTACTAATATCTTAATATCTGACTGTTCTGTCAGACATGTTTAGCCATACTGTGTTTTTGTTCTCTCTCAGTATTAAGACTGCGTTGCTGGGGGTGCACTCCATCAAAGAAAAGAAGAAGGAACAGCAGTTCAGGCAGATCCGTAAGGTGAAGAGAAGTGTTCCCCATCCTTGCTATGATAGCAAAGAAAAAAACAACGATCTCATGTTGCTCAAGGTAACTTTACAAAAATTAGTGATGTTATCTATGCTGACATTGTTTCTAATATAAAATAATAGTGATACTTTCTTTTCCAGCTGGACAAAGCAGTGAAGCAAACCAAATGGGTGACACCTCTCAAGCTGAATAAAGTTGTCAAAGAGCCAGCAGCCGGTTCAGTCTGTAAGGTGGCTGGATGGGGAAAAACCAAAATGGATGCATCTACTATGTCAGATGTTTTGATGTCGACCAATGTGACTGTGATCGACAGAATGAAATGCAACTCAAAAGATTATTACAATCTTGCTCCTTATATAACTAGGAACATGATATGCGCCGGGTGGAATGGCAAAATCAAAGCTGACACTTGTCAGGTAAGTGGGCCTAAGAGCTGTTTACACAAATTTAAATGTTGCTGTTTCCCTAAAATGCATTTTATATATTTGTTCTCTCTGTAGGGAGATTCAGGAGGGCCCATATTGTGCAATGACGATTTAGTTGGCGTTACGTCTTTTGGGCGTGACTGTGGAATTCAAAACAAACCTGGCGTCTACGCTTTACTTACTGAAGATAACCTCAACTGGGTCAAGAAGACAATGAAGAAAAGTGAATAAACCTGGCTTTTCATCCTTGCTGTTTAACTCTTTCAAGCACTTTTGCAATTCCATTTGAATTTAACTTGCATTATGTTGCTGAAAAATGTATGCGCAGACAAGTGAACAAAACTGAGTTACATCAAACCTTGAAAATAGTTTTTGAAAACCTGTTTAAAAGAATAATGAATAAAATATTATATTTATGGCCATGTACTGTCAGATTAGTCAATACCAATGACCTTTGTGTGTGTGTTTTCCTACCAGGGCACTAGGTGATGCTCTCTGCTACAGCTAGAATGCTGCTATACCTACAACTAAAACCAGTTGTATGAAGATCAAAAGAAAGTTAACTATTATTTCCCATGGTTTGACTTGAAGGTGATGGAAAGCAAGTGATGCTATTCAAATGGTCCACATTTCAGACATATATCAAGACTGAAGATAAAACAATGGCAAAAAGATGTTGACATTTTCTTGAGTTATTATTAGTAACAAACAGCAGATAAACCAGGTTTTCCATGTTACTAACCATGGAAGACAATGACAGAATTACAAAAACAGTCTTTGATTTTATCTGTAGCAATGTTGTCAGCATCTTAATTTAGTGAGCAAAATCAAATACAGTGGACTACTGGTTTTGTGGACTTGGGGATCAAAGCTGCCTGAGAAATGTTAAAATCAGCTAATACTGGGGACCTCAACCAAAAATGCTATCTGCCTGTTTTAATAGTTCAAACTGGCCTGCCTTACTATGCATTGATAAGCATGGAGAAACCCTCCTTAATGCTACTGCAGAATCTTGATGCTGCAGCAAATCAGAGTCCAAGAAAATAAATGGCACTCATGGATTGGCTGCGTTGCAACTGTCACTCAATAGCGTGTCTGAGCAACATCGTGACAAGGTATGTTTCAGCTTCCCATGATGCATTTTCTTTTGAATATTTTAGATATGCTCTATGAAACAAATCTACCAACATGCAGACTTCCTGCAAATAATTTGGATTCCTGTTGTCATGTCCTCCTCCTCCATCGCCTTGTTGAAGTGAACATTCAGATAAACTCCTCTCCAAAATGACCACAGACCAGAGGGACTCTTTACTGAAGCCAGTTGGGGTACGGTAAAACTGAGAAGTGTGAACATGCACATTTTCAAAAATAATACGCAGCAGCAAACAATAGTTTACACTTAAATGTACAATAAATTTGCTCAGGAGGTAATATTTAGCTAAAGACTGTAAAAGTTCCTATAAAACAAATGCTGCCTTCTTACAAACACCTGCATTATTCTAAATCGACAGAAATATCAAATTCAAATTCCAGTGCTTTCAAAGACCAGTTCAAACTTAAAGAAGTTGCGATGTTACTGAGAAAATCCCCATACTTCCTATCTCCTGCATTGTCTCCTTTCTGTGACATCATCAAACGATGGCAGACTCTGAAATGTAATACCTAATTCTGCCACTAGATGGAAATTAAGTCAACATTCTTACTGTATAAAACTGTTGAAATGCCAATAAACTGACAACAAAATACATGTTATACAAATAATTTTGCACATGCTGAACCGTGAATAAATATGAAGATCCTTTAAATCTGTAGGTAAAACACTGACTGACTGAGAACAATGCCACAGAATGACTCATTTAAAAAATGTGTCATTCTGTGTCACCTCTGACCTTATAGGTTTTGTAAAAATACCTTGTTGACAATACTCACGGTACGCTATTTTACAGATTAATAATGCAATAATTATTTTATATAAGCTCAGAAATAACTCAAACAAGCAATATTTAAATGGAACCAAGTAGAAAATAACTAATTATTCTATGGGTCTCAAATGTTGGCCTCAATAGAAGAAAAGTGTAGAGTTTTATGCCAAAAAAAAAAAAAAACATAACTTTTTTTTCCAGGAAATCCTTGTTTAACGAATCCATGTTCCCATGTCTGATTTTAAGTTAAACATTTTATTTCATTTTCATTTCCATTTGAGTTTTCAGAACAACATCCAGCTGGAGGGTTGCTGGTGCAAAAAGCTTTGCCCCGATGTTCCCACAGTAACCACCACCGCATTCACTACATAATATAGATGTTCTCAATGCCACAAAATGTTTCCATTCTTGAATTGAATTCATGCACTGAGATCATAACTCAGTGCATGAAATTTGAATATTGAAGTCTCCTCTGCTCATGACTTTGTTCTCACCTGTTTGTACTCTGAGCTGCATGTTGAGGAAATAAAAATTAAAATAAAAACCTGCACCTCACAGCTGCTGAAGGGCTTTGGTTCTGATCTAGTGTTACCACAGACTTCAGCTTACCAGATCACTACGTGTGTTTGCTGAATCATGCTGTTCCATGGTCAGACCACATCCTTTGACAAGCACAGATAAAGGGTGAGGGTCAGCATCCTGAGGGGCGCATTCACCTCCAGATCAAAGACTGAGACAAGACAAAATGTTCTCTCTGAGGGGTATCATTGCCCTTTTCCTTATGATCAACTCAAGTGAGTAATATCTTGTGTGCTGCCATTTTACTTGAGAAGAAAGATAATATCACCTCTTTACTATTATGGGATGTGTTGCACCTTTTTGCTTTCTGTGTCAGGTTACGGATCTGAGATTATCAATGGGAAAGAAGTGAAGAAGCACTCGTTGCCCTACATGGCTCTGCTGGAGTCAAGCGAACCAGTCTGTGGGGGAATATTAATTGATCCGAACTGGGTTCTGACTGCTGCACACTGTGAAGGGTAAAAACAGGAACTCTTTTATGCATTTAGTTTGCTTTGTTGTGCACTGTGCAAATCACAAACCGGTATTTCAAAGCAAGATATTTTCAACTTCTGTGTTTTATACCTAAAGTGTGTTTGTGTCACTACTGACAGTTTTTTTTATTGGATGGTGGTGACTACAACCTCCAATCATTTTTAATGTTGACTTGAATATGATCATAACAAATACAATCATTTTATGGCCTGCAATTTTACTAACCTCTTTATTTCCAAAATTGCCCTGCTATTTACCACACAGGCTTAAATGTAGTGTTTCTTGCTCCAGACCCATTTACTGTGTAATATGTTGTTGCTGTCTCAGTATTAAGACTGTGTTGCTGGGGGTGCACTCCATCAAGGAGAAGAAGAATGAACAGCAGTTCAGGCAGATCCTTAAGGTGTCAAGAAGTATTCCTCATCCTTGCTTTGATAGCAAAGAAAAAAACAACGATCTCATGTTGCTCAAGGTAACTTTACAAAATTAGTAATCTGTACTGACATTGTTCATAACATAAAATAACAGTCATATTTTATTTTCCAGCTGGACAAGGCAGTGAAGCAAACCCAATGGGTGACACCTCTCAAGCTGAATGAAGCTGTCAAAGAGCCAGCAGCCGGTTCAGTCTGTATGGTGGCTGGATGGGGACAAACCAAAAAAGGCAGAGCTACTTTGTCAGATGTTCTGATGTCAGCCAATGTGACTGTGATCGACAGAATGAAATGCAACTCAAAAAAATATTACCAACTTCATCCATACATAACTAAGAACATGATATGTGCTGGGGCCAGTGGTAAAATCAAAGGTGACACTTGTCAGGTAAGAGATCCTAATGGTAGTTTACACTAAGATAAAATGCTATTGTTCCCGTAAAATGCCGGTTTTCCTTTCTTCTCTATGTAGGGAGATTCAGGAGGGCCAATACTGTGCAATGGAGATGTAGTTGGTGTCGCGTCTTTCGGTTACAAGTGTGGAATCAAAAACAAGCCTGGCGTCTACGCTTTCCTTACCGAAGATCACCTGAAGTGGATCAAGAAGACAATGAAGACACCTGCAAATGAATAAAGGTTGTTCTTGAGTTGCTGTTTCAACTATTGTTTTGCTGTCCGTTGTAATTCAGCCTGCATTATGTTAGCAAAAAGCGTATGTACAAACACCAAATGAACAAATAAAATGCTGAATTTTTACTTCTCACAGCAAGGCTTGAGCTATTTCTGAAAACCACTTTAAACAAATAAAGAGAAAAAATATTTATTTTCTTGCTCTGTACTATCGGACTAGCCATTAACAATCAGAGTGGATCCTTTCCAGATGCAAAAAAATGCACTTTTTTTTTTGACAATCTTTGTTTAAGGAAGAAGTGTGCCCAAGTTTGTTTTCAAGCTGAAGTATATTTGTGCCCATATTTGCTATGATAATAAAATAAAAGCAAAAATAAAATGTGTGTCATTTCCCTCTTTCCTCCTCTGAATGTGTGACTGCCAGGTGTGGCTTCCAGACGGAGCTAATCAGGAGTAATCAGAACGAGCATTTAGGGGAGGATTTTCACAAGACCACAAAATGTACCCATTGTTATTGAATAGTTATTCTCCATTGATTTTGAAGACTTAAGTCTATTCTGCTGCTGGCTCTACGCTCCCACCAATCTTCAAATGTGAGCTGCAACAAACAAACAAAACCTTCACTTCACAGCTGCTGAATAGCAACTAAGTGGCTCAGTTGGCAGCGCAGATGAACGATGTGTTGAGGTTGTTGCCTGTGATGCAGTTGTCCTGGGCTTGACTCCTTTATGTCGGCCCCTTCTCTCTTAGCCCTCTTTCTTATTAGATTGTTGTTTACGAAAGACTTCTAATACTAAAAAAATAAACTGGTTCTGATCTGGTAAATGTCAAAACACATTTCAGATTGATAGTGTTCATCAAAACATTTCATGCGTTTTGCTGACTCATGAATTTCCATGGTCAAACCACATCCTTTGAGAAACACACATAAAGGAGAAGGGCGAGCATCGTGAGGGTTGCATTCGTCTCCAGATCAAAGTCTGAGAAAAAAGGAAATGTTCTCTCCGACGGGTTGTACTGCTTTCATCCTCTGTGCCCTTTTCCTGATTATGAACTCATGTGAGTAATATCTTAATTGTTGTCACTCTTTGTTAAAAAAAAAAATCCCATTTCTTGATTCCATATTTTTACCTTTTTGAGTGGGCTTGGATGTCTTCCTGTGCTAGGTCGTGGTTCTGTCATCATCAATGGGCATGAAGTTGAGCCACACTCATTGCCCTTCATGGCTTTTCTGATGTCAAGTAAATTCTGCGGAGGAACATTAATTGATCGAAAATGGGTGCTGACTGCTGCACACTGCGGAAAGTAGGAATTATAAAATATTTTTATTTCATTGAGGTTTCACCTGGTAAAGAAATTATTCAAAATATTAGCAGGAAAGTGTTATTTGAGTTACAAAAATTGATTCTCCAATAGTTTTCATCTCCAATAGTTTTCAAACTAATGGAGAATATTTAGGTCTCTAAAAGTTTTATTAAAGATTTTTAAATAAAACAGTGAGCCACTTCATTTTTTACTGATTCTTAAGAAATAGTAAGACCCAGGAAAGCTCAATCTGGTCTAAGACCAAAGATGTCCAGATAGCCTTCATCTCTACTTTTTTTTAAAGATTTGTAAACAAACACCTTGCAAATCTGCTTTTTTTTTATTATATATAAACATTTACTGTGGGCTGTTTTCTATTCATATATTAACAGCAACCAAAATACCAAGTCCAGGTTCTCATAATATGTCAGTGAGAACAGGGTTTTGTAATGAGCATACAGTCTACACTCATTTTACATTTCAAAGTAAAACCTTAAAGGCTAAGAACAAGACAAAGGAAGAAAAAAAATGTGATGCAATAAGGTGCAAGTACCACTCACTTCGAGAAACCACAAAAGCCACACGACTTTAGAAAAAAGTTGTTCTCTGAGAAACGTTTAAATTTCAACATTAAGCTTCATTTTCCAAATAAACAATATCATTTAAAAAAAAAGATCAGCATCCAGGAAGACAAATTAGAGAAGAATGCAAAAGACTAAAATGAGCAGAATAAAATTTTTCAGATCAAAATATGTCAGAAGACCTGAAAACTGAAAGTGCTCTCCATCCAGTCTGACTGAGCTAAACTTTAGCTAACGTTAGCTGAGGAACAGCCCAAGTTTGCATGGCAATGCCCACAACTGGTAGCAACATGCTCTAAACGTTTTGCAGGTGTCATCGCAGAAAGAAGTATTAACTCAGGGGAGTAAAATACCAATGTATCACACACTTTTCACATTTTAATTTCTTAAAAATCTAAATATATATTTTCCTTTCACCTAACAATTTTAATTGGTATGAAATCCCAATACAATACGTTATTTACTTAACATGGTTCTAATGTGACAAAAAATAAAATAAAATAAAATAATATATATATATATAGCTACATTAAATAATCATCACATTGAACCACCCCACATCATAAAAATATCTGCTTCTCTCTTATCAGCTCAAGATTTGTGAAGCTTAACAATTAAATAATCTTAAAATGTAGTTCATGTCAATTCCATAATAATTCCCTTACTATAAAATAAACTATAATAGACTGATTCCCATATATTAGGGTAGTAGACCTTCATGGTGTCATGACTATGGACATGCTCCATAAATCTAACACAGTATTGTGGTTTTGCTTTTGCAGCTTTAAGACTGTGTTACTGGGCGTGCACTCCATCAAAAATGAGAAAACAGAAAAGAAGTACCGGCAGGTCCGTAAGGTGAAGAGAAGTGTGCCTCATGATAAATATGATAATAATACAAAAGTCCATGATCTCATGTTGCTCAAGGTAAGATAAGCTTTTAAAATAAGAGGAAGCTTATGCACAGATATGCTTTGGAAAAATACTCAAGAAATACGATAAAACTTCAACAAAAAGTTGGTTTTACTTTAGTTTTACTTTAGATAAGGTATGAAGTTGCTTCAGTGATCTTCAGTCATATCTGTTATTAGTCTTTAAGTCCATACGCTCAAATAATTGCTTGAACCAGCTTTAAGAATCAAGCTCTTTCAGATCTGAAGCAATGGTAAAGGCTACTCTTTTGTGTCTATTATATAACTCTGAACAATTTCAACTTTGATCTATTTTCCCCTTTCAGCTGGACAAACCAGTGAAGGAAACCAAATGGGTCAAAGTTCACCAGCTGAACAGTGTTGTCAAAGACCCAGCAGCTGGCTCTGCCTGTCTGGTGGCTGGATGGGGAGCAACCAGCAAAAATAGCAACGTCCTATCAGATGTTTTGATGTCTGCTAATGTCACTGTGATTGACAGAGAAAAGTGCAACTCTCCAGACCACTTTAACCATATACCATATATTACCAAGGACATGATATGTGCAGGGCCAAATGGGAAGAAAAGTGATGCTGACACCTGTAAGGTAAAGGAGCCTTTTAGCCAATTTTAAAACATTATTTCCTTAAAATGATTTTCACGCGTTTCTTCTTTGTCTTAGGGTGATTCTGGAGGACCAATGTTGTGTAGAGGAGTTCTAGTTGGGGTCACATCTTTCGGAGGATCCAAGACTGAGCCCTGCGGATCAGTGAAGAGGCCTGGAGTTTACACTTTCCTATCAGAAGACCATCTTACCTGGATCAAGAAGACGATGAAGACCTCAGAAGCTGAATAACTTTTCTGAATGATACAGTTAGTTTATGTAACTATGTTTTGTTGTTCTTTTTGTTTGACCTGCATTTTGTTGCAAAAACTGGGTATACATGCAAATTACAAATAAAAAAAAACAAAGACACCATAGACTCTGTTGTTGCACTGCCATGAGAACTGTCGAATTTAGTTGCCATGGCAACCAAATTAGCAAAACTATAAAAAATACAAAGTTTTACAAAGTTTTTATATTGTATAAAGGAACACGAATATTTGTGTTATCAGCGTACACAAAATGCATCACACACTGTTACTTTGTCTCTTAGAAAATGGTTGTGCCTCACTACTCTTTAAAATACTTTTTTCCCCCACCCTAACAAAATTTAGAAGGAAGCTGCATTAGTTTTGATTTGATATTAATTCCAGGTTACTTCTGTGGATCACAATAAAAAGCAGAAGGAAGTCCAGTTCACTTCAATATCGACTGATTTAAACAAGAAGAAACTGACCATCCAAATGCATATTAGAGTCCAGAAAATTTTCGATTTTTCTGTGGAGAAATGTTTATGTGTCATGTAAGAATGAGAGAAAACATCAGCAGCGATATCCTTTATGGCTCCTGGAAAACAGACACAGAGGACTACATTTAAAACCGAAACATAAAAACAAGCAGAGCAGCAGACCAGAGACATCAAAACAATGAACCCAAATCAACAATGTATAAGAAGAGAGAAACTCTATTTGGGTTTACAGAACTCTGCAGAATCTGCATAGCCAACCCAAATGCCGGCATGTAGTGGCAGAGTGAATGTGGTCTGAACTCTGTGGAGGAGAGTCATGGTTTCAGAGACACTGTAGAAGGACAGAATACCTGCTCTGTGATCCAGGTACACTCCCACTCTGGAGGAACCAGGACCTGAGATGGAGGTCCAGATGTTGCTGTGACCAAATCTATGATAACTGTTTTGGTAACACTCTAAAGCCCAAGACTTGTCATTACCTCCAAATCCATGTTCATTCCCACTTCCTACTCTGCTCATATTCTTGTATGCAACTGCTACATAAATTAGTATCCCGCTCCACTCCACCTCCCAGTAACAGCGTCCAGTCAGACCCTCTCCACTCAGGACCTGACGCCATCCAGTGAATCTGTCTGGATGTCTGGAATAAGACTGACATTGAATCGTTCTTGTCACCTTCCTGTTGCCCTCTGATAGTACCAGCCATGTGTTGGTTGTGTTTGGATCCAGTGTGATTTCACATGAATATCTTAAGAATCCAGCTCTGCTCTTTGGTTCTGGTTCTGACAGTAGAACATCCACCTCAGTGACCATCAGTGAGATGTTTGTCCATGAGTCTCTCAGGACGTCCTGTAGTTTCTCTCTGAGCTCTGACACAGCTGCTGTCACGTCCTCAAAGTGTCCCAGAGGACGGATGTTGATGCTGGATGAGTGTGTCGACTCACTGAGTGCTGGCAGTGAGGGGTAGTTGAGGAGAAACTGGTTGTGATCCTCTGTGTGTGAGAGCTGCTCCAGCTCAGCGTCTTTCCTCCTCAGCTCAGTGATCTCCTGCTCCAGCTTCTCCTGAAGATCTCTGACTCGACTCACCTCAGTTTCCTGCTGGGATCTGATCTGCTGCTTCACCTCAGAGCTTCTTTTCTGGAGGAGACGGATCAGCTGGGTGAAGATCTTCTCACTGTCCTCCACTGTGTTATCTGCAGAGTGATTTATGGCCTCCACCTCCTGTTGAAGCAGCTTCAGATCTTTCTCTCTATCCTTGATCCTCTGCTGGATTTTTCCTCGTCTCTCCTCCAGCTCTCTCTGCCTCTCAGTCCTTTCTGTTGCAGATGAGACTATGTCGTGGCCTCTATGTTCATCCACAGAGCAGAGATAACAGACACACTTCTGATCAGTGCGGCAGAACATCTTCATCACCTCATCATGGAGAGAGCAGATGTTCTCCTGGAGGTTTTTGGACGGCTCCACCAGCTTGTGTTTCTTAAATGCAGCTGAATCATAATGAGGCCGAAGGTGTTTCTCACAGTAAGAGGCCAGACAGACTAAACACGACTTGATGGCTTTTAGTTTTCTTCCAATGCAAAAATCACAGGCCACATCTTCTAGTCCAGCAGGGCATTGATCAGCAGGCATGACTTGGAGTCCAGTCTTCTTCAACTGCTTGATCAAACCTGATAAGATTGTACTCTTCTCCAGGACAGGCCTCCATATGAACGTTTTTCCACACTGTGGGCAGCTGTGAACGCCTTTTGGATCCTCTTCATCCCAGTGTGTTTCAATGCATTTCATACAGTAGCTGTGTCCACAGGAAGTGGTAACCGGATCCTTTAGTAGATCCAGACAGATGGAACAGGAGAAGATTTCTTTGCCCAGCTGAACTGCCTGCTGCTCCATTTCTCCTCTCAGTCACAGTGGAAGTGAGTTTCACTTCCTGGAAACAGAAACACGTTTTAGCTCTGATCTACATACCACATGACTATGGACAGAGAGGCTTCATCCAATCAGCTTTCATTTTTTAGCAGAAGATGGTTCCACCCAGGTACAAGCTGCGTTTGAGAGCAGGAAGATGAGGAAGGAATATCAGACTTTGATTCCATTAAGAGTAGTAAAGTAAGAAAGGTTAACCATCTTTAGTGGTTAACCTTTCTTACTTCTCTACAACAACTTTACACAGAAAGTGCCAAGTTTGGGTCATATATATATCAGTTTAGTTTTGTGTAGCTGATATGTAGGGCCTGGACATTGACACAAACAGGTCGTAGTCAAAAAATTAGAATATCATGGAAAAGTTTATTTAAATCAGTAATTCCATTCAAAACGTAACATTTATAGTATATTCATTCATTACATACAGACTGATATATTTCAAATGTTTATTCCCTTAAGTGTTGAACAGAACTGTTTTTTTTTGTTTGTTTGTTTGTTTGTTTGTTTTTTAGAAAATCCTTGTTTAATGAATGCATGTTCCCCTGTCTTATTTTAAGTTAGAAGTTTTATTTAATTTCCATTTGAGTTTTCAGAATAACGTCCAACTGGTGCAAAGAGCTTTGCCCCGATGTTCCCACGGTAACCACCACCTGCATTCACTACATAATATAGATGTTCTCAATGCCACAAAATGTTTCCATTCTTGAATTGAATTCATGCACTGAGATCATAACTCAGTGCATGAAATTTGAATATTGAAGTCTCCTCTGCTCATGACTTTGTTCTCGCCTGTTTGTACTCTGAGCTGCATGTTGAGGAAATAAAAATTAAAATAAAAACCTGCACCTCACAGCTGCTGAAGGGCTTTGGTTCTGATCTAGTGTTACCACAGACTTCAGCTTACCAGATCACTATATGTGTTTGCTGAATCATGCTGTTCCATGGTCAGACCACATCCTTTGACAAGCACAGATAAAGGGTCAGGGTCAGCATCCTGAGGGGCGCATTCACCTCCAGATCAAAGACTGAGATAAGACAAAATGTTCTCTCTGAGGGGTATCATTGCCCTTTTCCTTATGATCAACTCAAGTGAGTAATATCTTGTGTGCTGCCATTTTACTTGAAAAGAAAGATAGTATCACCTCTCAGTACTGCTATTATGGGATGTGTTGCACCTTTTTGCTTTCTGTGTCAGGTTACGGATCTGAGATTATCAATGGGAAAGAAGTGGAGCCCCACTCGTTGCCCTACATGGCTCTGCTGGAGTCGAACAAACCAGTCTGTGGGGGAATATTAATTGATCCGAGCTGGGTTCTGACTGCTGCACACTGTAAAAGGTAAAAACAGGAACTCTTTAATTTTGTTATATATTAGTTTGCTTTTCAAGCAGCATTAGAAATACATAGAAAGCATAATATGTTGTAACCTTGACTGACTCTGCTTTGCTCTCCCAACCAATTTAAATAATGCTTAGATCTGTAAAGGCAAACAGTCTGCACCTTGGAATGGTGTGCACTGTGAAAATCAGAAACTAATATTTCAATCTGAGTAGACAGCAACAGGAAGCCATTTTTTTCTTGCTTTAAATGTATGTAGTACTTGTTTCTGCTTTTACGCAGGAAAAAATGTTAAGAAAGAACAGATTTACCTAAAAACTGTGCATAACCAGATTTTTTGACAGCGTTATTCAAAATAAAGTACCTTAATGCTTGCATGTATCACACACACACACGCACGCATGCACGCACACATATATATGTATATAATTTATCATAATTCACTTAAAATAAATCACAGTAGATTGATTCGCTAATAATAAAGTAGGAAACCTTTATAGGGTAATAACTATAGACATGCTCCATAAATCTGCTTTTGTTTTTGCAGCATTAAGACTGTGTTACTGGGCGTGCACTCCATCAAAAAACGGAAAACAAAAAAGAAGTACCTGCAGGTCCGTAAGGTGAAGAGAAGTGTGCCTCATAATGAATATGATCATAAAACAAAAATCAATGATCTCATGTTGCTCAAGGTAAGATAACATTTTACAATAAGAGGAAACTATAACATAACTAAAAGTTGGTTTTGATTTAGTCATTGACAAAATAAAGTATATTTGTTCTTGACTCAACCAGTGATCTTCAGTCATATCAATAGTTCACTTTGTGAACTATTTCAACTGTATAGTTTCATGTTCATAGTGATCTATTTTCCCCTTTCAGCTGGACAAGCCAGTGGACGAAACCAAATGGGTCAAAGTTCACCAGCTGAGCAGTGTTGTCAAAGACCCAGCAGCTGGCTCTGCCTGTCTGGTGGCTGGATGGGGAGCAACCAGCAAAACTAGTAACGTCCTATCAAATGTTTTGATGTCTGCTAAAGTTACTGTGATTGACAGAAAGAAGTGCAACTCTGCGGAACATTATAACAATGAGCCATATATTACCAAGGACATGATATGTGCGGGGCCAAATGGGAAGAGAAATGATGCCGACACCTGTAAGGTAAATGAGGCTTCTAGCTAAACTTTAAAACATCATTATTACCTTAAAATGATTTTCACATGTTTCTTCTTGCTCTTAGGGGGATTCAGGAGGACCAATATTTTGTAATAGAGTTCTAGTTGGGGTCACATCTTTCGGGGGATCCGATACTGAGCCCTGCGGATCAGTGAAGAGGCCTGGAGTTTACACTTTCCTATCAAAAGTCCATCTTACCTGGATCAATGATAAAATGAAGACCTCAGACGCTGAATAACTTTTCTGACTGATGCAGTTACATTTCTCTAACCTCTATTTTCATTCTTCCATTTGCATTCAACTTGCATTATACATATCGATAAATAAAAAACAAACAAATCATAGACTGATGCTTTACTGTCAATGACAACTGTGTATGAAAACCAAATAAAAAAAATAAAACCATGTATCTTTGGTGGGCTTATTGTAGTCATGTCAGCATATCAATTGCATGTGTGTGATCCTGTACGTCTCTGTGATGGACTGTTCAGGATGCATCCTGCCTCTCACCCAATGGGTGCTGCAAGGATAACAGCAGGCAGAGAAAATGAATGGAATAAATAGTATAGTGGTTGCGGGCTGCTGTTGGAAAATACTACTTTTTGTGGCATTTAATAAAAACCTGAAAGAGGTAAATATTTCATTTGAATTGCAACCTGGTGGCTTATGCCGTATTCAAATGGTACCTAAACCTATATGAAGTAATATAAGAGGTTTCTATTTTAAAAAGATTGAATGTCAAACACAACAGTAAAAAAAATTAAAGTTTAATATTTAGACATTATAAACAGACCCTCTTCCAAATGGTCAAAATGTATGCAGTCTTTGCGTCTGTAGGTGATAATTTGCTGTACCTTATTTTTTAAAAGAGAACGTTGCAAAGCCTTAAACCCCTCCTCCTGACCTTAGCAGTTTGTTCCCACGTCTGCACTCATCTACACTCTGATGTGCATGATGTTCAAAACCCATGCTGACTAACTTGGTTCTGATCAGTACTGGTAAATTTCACCACAGGCTTCAGACTGACGGTGTGCTGCAGATCATTTTAGCCATTTCGCTGACTCGTGCATTTCCATGGTCAGACCACATCCTTTGAGAAAAACACATAAAGGGCAGGGTGATTGTCTCCAGGGGCACAATCATCACCAGATCAAAGACAGAAATAAGAGGAAATGTTGTCTCTGAGGGGCTTCGCTGCTTTCATCTCCTGTGTCTTCTTCTTTTCTTTCAACTCAAGTGAGTAATAGCTTCTTAAATGCAGTAATTGCCATAGATATTAGTTATTTTTTTGTTTTAGAATGCTTCTTTTGTTGCTTTTTTGTGAAAAATGTTATTTGGATATCTTCCTGTGTTAGGTTATGGTTCTGAGATTATTGATGGGAGTGAAGTGAAGCCCCACTCGCTGCCCTACATGGCTCTGCTGAAGTCTGAAGTGCCGATCTGTGGAGGAATATTAATCGATCCCAAATGGGTCCTGACGGCAGCACACTGCAAAGAGTAGGAACTATGATGTTTATAATTTGCTTTTAGTTAGCAGATTCCAACAATATCAATACCTAGTTAGTTAACAAATGGCCTGTTCTGTGTGGTTTTTGTTCATCTTTCTTTTCTAAAGAACTAAAAACTGTTGTCTCTGGAGGTATTTTTTTTTATTTCCCCCCCTGATTGTGTGAATTGTGCAAAGCAAGAATGAGTGTGCATGCTGAGTCACTGGAAGCATCATTTCCTTGTTGCATCAACAGATCCCCCCCCCCCCAATGATTAAAAATAAGAAAGCACCAAATAGCTAGTAGAGAGCTGATGTCATTTTTTAATCAAAAGCTTTACAAGCATACATATTGTATGTCTTCTTTAAAACAACTTCCATTTGCTTATGTAGTGACCAAAAAAAGAAAAAAATTACATTCAGCTCCTTCGTCATGCAAGGGGTGTTATGATGCATTACATAAGTGCATCCTGCATGCTAAATATGCCTCACGTTTCACCTCAGACACCGAGTCTATGCACATGAACGTTTCTGCTATTTGCTTTGTACACACAGAAAGGAACAGAAGTAAGTCACTGAAAGAAAACACAGAAACCACAAGGGACGTTTTCTGAGAATCATTACAGCATTTCAGTCCTGCGACTGATTTTGCATGAGAAAAATAAATGCACCTAAAAGTATTAAACATCAGTGGCATGCAAAAGTTAAAAGTAGGCTTTGCATTCTGGTGAAATGACGAGAAACTTACAAAGCAACATTATGTTCTGCACAGACTAAAGTAGATCATGAAGCTCTCCATTGAGCTGTGTACGTAAGGGTGGTCAAGCTGCAATGGACTTAGACAATAAAAAGAAACTTCTTTAAACACCTAGAATGTATTTCCTTGAAGCGTGCTATTTCTGGTGTTTTATTCCACCATTTAATACTAACAATTGTTATTTTTCAATCACCTAAGCTGTTTAACCAGACTTTTATGGCGCTCCCTTTGTGCTGCTGTGAATAATGCAGTATTTTTCTGCTCTTGCAGTGTTAAGACTGTGCTGCTGGGGGTGCACTCTATCAAAGAAGAGAAAAAGGAAAAACAATTCAGGCAGGTCCGAAGTGTGTCAAAGCACATCATCCATCCCTGCTATGATGACGATGAAAAACTCAACGACCTCATGTTGATCAAGGTGAGACTTTAACATGCTAAGTAAAGAAATATTTTACATCTGTCTAATTACAAATCAGAAATGCAGATAGTCACATTTATTGTGGTGGAAACTATGCTCTTAGTTGTTAGTGCCAGCATTTTTTTTTTTTTGCCTAAAATGATTGTTCGAGCAAACTAAAATGGTCCAAGCCACTGCACATATTATAAATTTATATATTTTAACTACAAATCATCAGCATCTGTTGTGTTTTCAGATTAACAAGCCAGCAAAAAAAGACAAATGGGTTCAAAGTCTTAAGTTGCAAACTGCTGTAAAAGACCCAGCAACCGGCTCCGTCTGCATGGTGGCTGGATGGGGAAAAACAAACAACGTTGGCAAGATGTCTGACGTCCTGATGTCCACCAATGTGACAGTAATCGACAGAGAGAAGTGCAACTCTCCAGATTATTACAACCTGAAGCCGTATATCAACAAGAACATGCTTTGTGCCGGGTCAGATGGTCGAAACAATGCCGACACCTGTCAGGTAAAAAAAAGCCTTTTATGGCTTAGTTGGAGGTTGATTTATTCTGAAAACAATCACCACATGTTTCCTCTCTCTCTCTCTCTCTCTCTCTCTCTCTCTCTCAGGGGGATTCGGGAGGACCAATAGTGTGCAATAACGTTCTAGTTGGAGTCACATCATTTGGGAACCGTTGTGGCGTAAAAAAGAAACCTGGAGTTTACTCTTTCCTGTCAGAACGGCATCTTAACTGGATCAAGAAGGCAATGAAGAAACCGAAAACTGAATAACTCATATCTATATTGTACTGTTAAATTCTCACATTCCCTTTTCTGTCTTCTGTATTTATTTATTTTCTCTTATTTTTGACTTTTAAATATTTTATACAAATAGAAAACACGTGCGGTCTTGTCTCATTACAGTAAATAAAAGTTTAAAGGACAAGAAGTTCTTGTTGGAAAATTAAATTAAATGAGCAAAAGTATAAAATAGACACGTTCCTCTCCTCCCTCAGTCTCCTTTCAGAAACAGGAAAAGCACTGAAAGGTAAAAGATTATTTCATAAAGCTCTTCAGATGTCTCTCCACATCAAGTCCTCAGAGACAGCTACAAATATTTCACTTCAGACTCATACAGAAAATATACAATCAGTTTTTTTTTTAATACATTTGTCATCCACATTCGCTGAATCCGGTGTTTGGGGGAAAACACCCCAAAATACACAAGGGACACCTGCAAACTCCAGTCAGAAACATTTCAGTTCCATCAGACTTGAAGAACAGAACCTCAAATATGAAACCGTTTTAAGTCGTCAATGTTTAAATTGTGGAGTGCAACAATTACTTGAATGCATGTGAGAACAAGCGTTTTCTAACCAGGGCAGAAAGTGGGATTCCAATGAGTAGAAAAATAGTTTGTAAAGTAAAGAACTTTATTCAAAACAGACAAAAATGCTTTGTGTACTTTAAGCTCCACGCCGCTGATGCTTTTAACTCAGCTCACATTTAAAATTAACCTCTAAAAGACAAGCAAACTTCAGCTGTTCAAGAGGGAACTACTGACAGCTCGTTACTTTGCTCTTCCTAATGAGCAGGTCCTATATGACTTACACTGCCAGGAAGCAATCTATATATGAAAAGGAGTTATTTTTTCTATCTGGTATGAAATGTACGTGCTCATCTCATTAAAGAATCAGATGGAAGTTTTTATCTTTTCATGCCTCTCTCTCGCTGCAGACGTGCCATTTGCTTCTTTTCCTCTTTATTTTTATCTTTCTGGGGTTCTTGGTCCTCTGTGGTTGTACGTGTTATTGTTTCTTTTTTGTGGTTGTTCTCGTACGTCTGAGTGACCTTTCTTGCTGCTCTTTGTGGTTGAGAGCAGATTCTGCAAGAACATTTGTTACATGGCTTTAGTAGCACCAGAACTTGTGAACACTTTCTTAGAAGTACGCCACAGCTCACATGATAAAGTAGTAATTTGGAACCTACAGAAAGCAGCACCTGTTTTATATATTAGAAATAAGATCCAAAATGTTTGGTGTGCAGCTTTCTAAAACAACCTTCTTCTGCAATTAGACATGTCTGCTCCTGCTTTGTACACCTAATGACCAACATGTTCCCTGTGTTTCTTTGTGAAATAGCTCAGTTAAATAAGACGAAGAGCATCTGCCAGCAATTACCAAGTCTCACATTTAATTTTGCTAACAAACATACGGGGAGACGATGTTTTCCAGGTCCATTTAAACAGAGTGATTCATACAGGTTTGACCTTCAAGAACCACACTGACTCTTCTAACTGGCTCCCCGACACAAATAATGGAAAACAAATCCCAAGCACATTGTTTTTTTTTTCACAGATGCGCAAAGCTGACACTGATTTCTTAGTTCACAGAGCCAGAGAGAGGACAGGCACAACGGGAGAGCAGCCGAGAGCGCCTGATGTGCTTCTATGAAGTTTATTGACAGGGGTTTTGCCTTCACATGAGAAATAATGTGCAATAATTTGAAGCAAGTGGGTGTCAACTCAAAAAAAGAAAATGCCAATAATAATACATTTTATTTGTGTTGTCTAAGTACTCAGACACTTTACACGAGTACAAATATAAAATCAAACAATGCAACACAACATAAAAACACATTAGAAGGGCAGATTTAAGCATTAAAGAAATTACTCGTCTGATATATGCCCATATTGATCTAAAGTCTATAATGCCATTACTCCATCCATAAATATAAAAATTATCCTGTCGTTTGTGTAGTAATGGATTCACAGTACCTAGCTAAACACAGAGAAAACAATTATTTTGTCACATTTAATTGATTCTCTTAGCGCCTCCTAATAATGTGATGCTACCTTTAAATATTGTCTCAAAATGTCAAAGTAAATGAAGCATCCGAAATAATAATAAAAAGATGGGAGAAAACAGAAGGCTTTCATGCCAGATCCAAAGTAAACTTTTTATAAAAAAAAAAAAAAAAAAAAAAAAAAA